TATTTAGTCTCCGCTTTCTTATTTTTTCATGTCTAGTGTTTTTATTTACATTTATGATGCAGCTGTCATGATACAAGGTGTTTTTTTTTCCTGTCCCTCCAGGCCCCTCCTGCCACCATCCCCCTCTCTTCCTCACACCCGCCCCCGTCCCATATGAATGCCAGGCACAGGCAGCTCCTGGATAAGAACTGAGTGCCCACCTCCTCATCAGGCTCCCTTCCCTCTCCTTCTTCCCTCGTGGTGAACAGAGCATCAGTTAACAGATTACCACTGAATCACTCAATCCAATTAAGCCTCATGACGCCAAGACAGTGAAGTGGAGGGAAACGCGAGAAACAAGCACGGCTTAGTGAACATGGTCAAGTGGCCGAGGGCAGTAATCCTCAGCAGGAATTTTTCACAAGCAACTGACAGTTGACCTTGAGAGGGCTACAGAGGTGAGAAAGTAACAGGAGGAGAAATGAAGACACGTAGGGCGAGACAGAAGAAAGAACTAACAAGCTTGTACACATTAAGGCAATTTACTAATCCCAAAGTAAGTTGTAGGGAAAGAGGGAATGAGCTGCGGAAAATGAAGAATACACAAAAAATGTCTTTATCTTCTCTGTGGAGTCCGACTAATGCCATGCCTGCGTTCACACTAGGCTGGTAACTGGAAGGAGACCGGAGCAGGCGACTGCTGAGGTCAGAGAGCACATCGGCTTCAAGCAGGCAGAAGGACAATGGGTGCTCCTCTGCTCGCTTTTATATCCTGGGTCCCAACTCTCTGTGCCATGAGTTGGAGAGGTGACAATGAAAGAGACGAAGAGCGGAGGGAGGAAAAAACAGAGAAATGGAGAGAAGAGAGGGAAATGGAGTGAAGCATAAAGAGGAATCTTTTGAACAGGCACCAGGCCTCTCCAGGGGGAGGGGAAGAGCTGTACCCACGACCCTCCCATCTGTTAAGCAGACGGACGGAGAGAGAGGGGGATGAAGGTTGGGGGAGGATGGGAGAGATAGAGAGGGAGCAGCGATTCAGCACATAGATCTAATGAGCATTCTCTCTCTCTCTCTCTCTCTCTCTCTCTGTGTCTCAGAAGTGGAGCTGAGAGGACGATGAGAACATATACACTCAGTGCACCACAAGGCTTGATTCTAGGTCGCCTCTCTCCCAAGTGTTTAGTCACTAAAAACTAATATACAGCACATGGCGCTTTTTCACATTCTAATAGACGGTCTGTAGGGTGCTTGTTAATGTGGCTTTGTTATTCAGGACAGACACTGAAGACGACTCCTTTAAATCAAGGGGGCGACAAAAAGAGGAACTTTACCTTGACTCATACTCAGGACTGATTTGTCACATTGAAAGATTGCTGCAGAGTTCTGTTTGTGACCCGGGAGAAGGGGCATGAAAGCAAATGAGAAATGAGAAATGAATATGAGTTCCAAGAACAACAATTAGGCGCATGTAGCCACCATTCAGAGAATTGTTAGGGAAAAATGTTAAAAACGAAAGTGCCACTGCAAATGCAACATGTGGAGAATCTGCTGATGCTGATACTCTCAAATCCTAATTTTACATGTTGTAGCAAATTGGGGAAGGTGATTTATCGTGACAGGATTGGCGGTGTTTTTCCAAGAAACCCCACCTCGGCAGCACAGCCTCAGCTCATGGTACATCTGCAACACATTTGGTAATAGCATGTGTCCTGAAAAAAATATGTATATAACGCCAGTATCCCCTATCCTCCTAGGAAATGTGGTTGTAAGGATTTGAAATAACATATTACACTGCAGTAAGTAAACCTTTTAGGAGGTGTATGGTACATTAAATAAACGCTCTCTCTTTTTAAATAAACTCCCATTTCCTTGAAGAGCAGGACGAAAAAAAAAGCGCTTTAATATAGTTTTCCAAATACAATCCGAATGTCAGTACACACTCGGTGCTCCATTTTCACTTGAGCATTTCTGTCATATAGATTTTTTTTTCCCTCAAGAACATAATTTTTTTTTCAGAGTAGATTGTAGATTTTTGGAGGTTTCTTCTTTGTGTTTATTTTTTTTCTGTTGCTATGTGCACATGTGCCTGTACACATGTGGATGTGTTTGTGTGTGCATGCATGTGTGTGTGTCTGTGCTTTTGATTTGGAAATAGTGGCACACAGCACTTTATCTCCTATAAGGACGGATGGAGATGTACCAGCAGAAATGAGAGGAGGGGAAGGATCAAGCGAAGGAGCGAGTCGATGGCCAGGCAGGATGGGAACAGAAAAATGTGTATCAGTTCTCATTGTGCCTCTAATGTCATTACAGGCAGTGACTCCTCTATGTGGC